ATTCCTGCTATTTAATTAAACTAAAATGTACGTTGGATAAAAACGTACGCTTAAAAAAGACGAATATGCATAATAACAAGCACTGCAAAGCAGGAGAGTTAAGTCCAAAATATTAATCTTAAATTATATGAAGATGGAGATTATGTTCTTAGTTCTTATTAAAAAAATTACATTGCCATATCAGATTTAAATCCTTAGAAAAATGATTAATAATCAGTTTTAAATTTGCATATTACCTTATATTTTTAAAAACACATTTACTCCTATTATCTTGAGTCTCATAATAGCCAGGGATTATTATCATGCAATCTTTGGAAAGTAGGAAACTAGCTGAGGGTAACTGAGGCAAAGATATTTGCACAAGGTTTGGTTGAATTAATGAATAAAGAAGTCAGTTTAGGAACTCATTCACCTAGCATCTAGTTCTGAATTTGTTTCACTAACGCACCCACAAAGAGTTCCGCCATTAATTCAGTGCTCACGTACTGGTTTTCTAATTTCACAGCAGTTCTAGAGAGTGAGGTGTTGGCAGTCAAAGCACATTCATACTTCAAAAATATTATTGAGGCCATGATGCATGTTATATAAGTGTATACTGTTGTTATATTGATTTTCTCTCACATTAATAGTAATACTATGCAAGTGATGGGGGCAAGTCTCATTAGACTCACTGCATAAATGAGAAAACTGAAAGACACTTAAGGATAAGTAACATTAAAGAATGTATTAGCAGATAAAATAGATGTTTCAATTGTACACTTTCCATGGCTATATGAAAGGTGTCTGCTTTCTTCAAAAGCAATTATATTGCACTAGTCTCTTGGAATTATTTCCACCAAAATGCTAAAACAAATCAAATCAAATTTTCTTAATCTGGGAACCAGCAGTTAGCGTAATGGCTATGTCGCTGGACTCCCATGTAGTCAACTGCGGTTCGCGTCACAGACCCGGTGGCTTAAAACTCAAGCCGGGCGCGTGTGCTTGCGTGCCCAAGATCCCGAGAGGAGAATGGAGGAGAAGGGATTGTGGTGTGGCCATCCCCCCCTGGGGAGTGATTTCTCGCTTTCTGTCTCTCTGTCTGGCGAGCGCACACACCCTATAGCAAAAACCTCTCCAAAAAAAAAAAATTCCTTAACCTGAAATAAAGTGGGGGGTCCTATTCATAAAGGGCCACTCTTATTTCAAACTTGAAATGTTAAAAGACTAGATTTGGTCAGAGCTGTGGCCTGTGGCAGAGAATATACCTTTGATGGTGATGACTGGCAACCTCTAAATCGGCTTAAGCTCTTTGAATGTGTGCTGTAGCAGAAGCACTAAAAATCCATACACGTTTCATTCCTTAATTTCACCTAGTTAAGTAATCTTGTACAAGTTACTGAAACTCTTGGGTTTTTAGATCCCTCATCAGTTAAAATTTAATTCTAACTCCAAAATCTTTCATTCTGATTTGTGCTTTGAAATTAGACCTAGCAGACCCATAATTTGATTAATTTCATTCCTCCCTGATTACTTTAACAGTTCATGCTGGCCTATTAACATGTGAATACCGATAGCATAAAGCTCTTACACATTTAAACGAAGCTATTTCTCTTGCGAAATTTTCATTTGAACTGTTGACTTGTGATTATCTAGTATACTAAGATGAAAAAAACCTCCACTAGCAATCAGGGGGCATAGGTTCTATTCTAGGTTCTGACATGTAAATCTCATGATCTACAGTGCTTTCAGAATTAAAGGGTAAGTATAAAAATAAGCATCCTGCCTACGTCATAAAAACCATTTAAAAATTAAATAAATGATTCTGAAGTTCTGAAATTACAGGAGAAGAATGAACAGCACAAATAACACTAATATATTCCTCCTACTTGAGAAGAATGAACAGCACAAATAACACTAATATAGTCCTACTTTACCTGATGGGGAGATGTGTCGCCAAGAAATGGAAGGCTCTGGTTTCCCAGTGGCCAAGCAAGTAAGGGTGACGTTGGTTCCTTCATTGATGATCATATCATTTGAAATATCATATATCTTCGGAGGAACTGAAATGGCAAGACATGCAATGGTCAGAAAAATATATAAAATTTTGTTGAGCTAAATATGATTAAATCCATGATATCATGCAAAAAAGGTATGGTAATGAAATATATTTAGAGTCTTTGGTCATCACCTAAGATGGATTCTCTAGAAACTCAACACTCAAAGTGTTTTTTGTTTGTTAGTTGTTTTTATTTCTTTTAAGTTTTAGATATTAAATACTTTGGATAGATTGAATATTCAAAAAGCTTGAATACTGAGTGCATTAAATATCTATTGTAAATGATTTGTATTAAGTAAACCAGATTATAATCAGTATGTTTTTCTAGCCATGTATCTTCATCGCAGTGATAGTTTTCTTCATGGTTAAATAGAAGTGGAAATCTTAAAGAAACCTAAAATAGAACCATTATGCCGTCATGCTGATTTAAAAGTCAGGACAAGTACAGAATTTGGAGGTGAGCGTTGAGAATTACAAAGGTACTTTAAGCTTAAATTTCCATCTGCCAAACAGTAGGGATAGACTTATTCAGCACTGGGAGGGAGTTCTTAACATGCATTCTAAGGAACACAAACTATTTTTTTTTTTTAGAAAGATTTTTGCTATAGGTACATGTACTCACTGCAGGGACAGAGAGAGCAGAGAGACAGAAAACAAGAAATCAACCTCCATGGGGGAGGGCCATGCTGCATGCCCTTCTCCATTCTCCTGTCGGGATTTTGGGCATACGCATACACACACACACACACACACACACACACACAGCATGAGTTATAAGCCACCAGGTCTGGGACTTGAACTGCAGTTAGCTACATGGGAGTCCAGCAACATAACTATTACACGTTACACCATAGACTGGTCCCATAAAAACACAAATTCTAAAGACTGGGTTAATAAGAGTTTTCTTGTCAGTGACCACTAGAAAACTCTGGTTGAAGCAGACTCACTTTAGAACTACTCAGAACCTTTTGAACTTTAAATCTGTAAGAATGAAGGAAAAAAGTATTATATTGTGTTTTCTCTGATGTATTCGACTATGGAAGCTTTTATCCCAGAATTTGATCATGAAATACGCGTTGACAAATGTTAGATAGAAAAATCATGATTAAGTTTTATATTCTCTGGAAAATCAAATGATCTCATTTAACCCTCGAATGGCATGAGTATAAATCATGAGTTTTCTACTTGCTATCTGGGTTATCTAGGAAAGTTACTTAATCTTTCACAGTCTCAGTATCTTCATCTGAATGCTGGAGACAATAACAGTACAAATTCTGTAACTGCTGTGGCAATCAAATACATCAATATATGTTAAAGAACTTAGAAAAGTGCCAGGCATCAAGGTTAGATATTATGTGCTATACAACATACATAGCATCTAAATTTAATTTCAGTACGAGCCTTTTTCCATGTTTTAAAATTATTTTCAGAACTTTATCGCTTTGGTAGGGTGTGTGACTGACTTGTCATCAATAAATTTGATTTACTTTATAAAAATTACAACATGTTGATGTAATTAAATCTAAATTAAAAAATCCAAATAAAAATGACTAGACATATTGGTATTTATAAGAAAAATAAAATATTTTTTACTGGAATCCTTTTAACTTCTCCATTTTTAGGATTTCTTCAGGCAAGAGATGTTTCAGTCATTTTCAAAGCCAGTAACTAAAATCCATTGTGAGGATAAACTAAATTACCCATACTTTGAATATTTAATTTGATTTTCTTTTAATGGAGCCAAAATTCTGCTACAAGAAAATCAAAGATGATATGATTATAAATACAAAGAATTGTGCTATATGTAACTGTTGATATGATTGAATAACGGCTTGTTTCTGAATGATATACCGTTATAACTGTTTCTAAATGGCATAGTTTAATTATAATTTAAAACATATCATCATTAAACTCTTCAGTGAGCTCCTCACAGGCAAAAGAAAAAAAATAAAACCCAAACAGAACATATATTTTTAGTTTAAATGAAATAGAAGAGAAATTAAAAACATTAAACTACCCTCAAAGGAGAGCAGAAAAAAAAATTCAAGATATACTGATGAATAGGAGAGTTAATAAAATTAGTTACAATAATAAATGAAAATATGTGGATATTTAGATGTAGGTATAGGTTTAACATAGTAAATTATGAAATACATATGGATGTATACTGGGTTGTCAGAAAAGTCATGATGTATTTTTCTATGCAAAAATGCACATGATTTTTTTCAATGACTCAATATATAAAACATACATACACACACACACGTATGTGCCTACATACCAATGCCCACTATTAAAAAAAAAGGAAAGTTATATAGTTATAGTCTCTTTTATATAGAAGATAGTACGCAGAGCTCGTAGTCTAGTCTGGCTATTTTAGTTATATATTTCAAATAAATTACTGATTAAAGGGTGGACAGAAGTCTGCATATTTAAGAGAAATGACAGGATGCCATAAAATATTCATTCTATCCTCTAAATTACATTTTTTGTCAATTCTTTCTGATCATAAAACAGTTTAATTGCTATTTTACACATATACTTATAGATGAGGTGGTAACGTTATGATAAACTAATATTAAGCACCAGGATTTGACTACATAGTGAAACAATCAAGTCTTAGCAATAAACTAGATTTGACAATTAACTACAGGAAATTGTGGGGTAAAAAAAGAATGGTGAGTTCCAGGTGTGGTGTGTCATCTCAGTGATTGTGATTGCCTCACAGGGCCTCATAATTCAGGATATGCTCCAGGGAAGAAACATCTGGAAAGAGGATGTTAGTAAGAGAAGCTCCCTCTGGCAAGGCTTTTCTCCCCAGAATGCATCACCTGTTGCCAGCAGATGTTGTGTGTGTTAAGGGAGCCAATGAAATCCTTCATGTGTACCATGGCTTGTGGACGCAAAAAACAGGTGTTGTTTTGCTGCATATTTAAAGCCATTGCATCTTTTTTTTAATTTTTATTTTATATTTTCTTTCTTTTTTTTTTTACATGTTTTAATGCATTCAATCACATTATTTAGCATACAAGGTGATCATTTCAAAATGTTCACATATTGAAAAAGCCATTGCATCTTAAGTTCAAAACATTCAACTTTTACTGAGTGTTATGGAGAGAATAACTCTGGACTCAAAGGACATGCATAAATTTCCAGAAATAATCCTTGCCCTCAAGAAACTTAAGAAAAAAGTAGATAGGTAACCTAAATAAGAAGATCCAAATAGTCTACATTTTCCTTTTCTATTTTATGTGAATAACACATGTCCAATAGCTACACCTTCTGGGTTCATGTAAGCAGTTTTGTGTTGGTTTCTTTTTATAGCTAATCAAGTTTATGCACAAAGTTATTTGGTGCAGTCTTATTTATAATAGAAAATGGTTAAAAATCTCAATCTAGGACAACAGATATGGAGGTATAGAGAATTGGTCAAGTGAAGGATGAACATGATTTTTACCAGAATAAAGTACTGTCTTGGGAAAAGGTTTGGGATGTTCCCAGGGAGCATCAGCTAAGGGGAAATGAGAAAGAAGAGATGCTTTGACCCTGGATGCAGGTACAGGAAAGAATGGTATCTCAGGCTTATGAAGACCTTTGTTTCTGGTATATAAATGATGCATGAAGCATGAGAAGAATTTTCAAACTTTCTTAATGTTTGTTATGTCTTGAAATATGTCCAGCATCTGAAGCACTTGCATAGAAAAAACAGAAAATGAGAGACTAATTTATTATTCTGGATGTATGTTTCTTTGCTGTGTACCTTATTTCGAACTCTCTCAAATCTTTTTCTAAATACTTAAAGACGATGTATATAAAATTGGTAGATATGTTCAATAAATTCAACAGTTTTAAGCTATTAAATAATTAGAGATTTTAAGAAGTATTTTGGGTTGCCACGCACAGTATTTGAGCATTAATGACATAGAGCAATCAATGCTATCTACCTAAATGTAAACTTGTTTAATATATAAAAAATTATTCTTTTTTTAAAGATAATTATTTTTTATTTAACTTTTATCTATCTATTTATTCAAATTTGACCAGAGAGGGACAGAGGAAAAAAGAGAGGAAAAGTGAGAGAGCAAGCTGCAGGTCTGGGACTCAAATCATGGTTAGCCATGTGGGAGTCCAGTGCCCTTCTAACATCATCACTGGCATCATCATGACAACATAAATGAGAACAAAGAAAGGTAGAGGCTCTAGATTTCATACTAAATTATAGATATCTCTTTCCTAGTGAGACTAATTGGGGATATATAAGATTTTATAAGTGTGTTCATAATTCATAGCTAAGCATCATCAGAGAAACCGCAGAACTTTGGAATCCTTCTAAGCAACAGAGATTGGGAGTGAATTTAGAAGTTAAATTCGGATGAAATGTTTTTAAAAACCCCAATATATATTTAAAAGAATCACTCTTAGACTCTCCAATTCATAACCTGCTTTGCCTTTCATTATTCCCTAGCCTCAAATTTAGCTACTAAACCCTCATTCTTCAACTCTTATTAATTGGTTCCACAGTGAGGAGTTGATGCATATTTAGATACATCAATAGATTTAGATTCTCTAAAAATAATTTCAATCTCTTCTTTGTTTTCACTTCCACCAAAAAATCAGGCAATCTAAACTGCCACAATCTCCTTTCCTCTATCTGTAGCAGCATCAGTAAAGAAAACTTGAGAACACTTACCCAAAGATACTGGTGATTTTCACCCACCTAGCCACTTGTGATTATTCCTCATCATTTTTATGACAATGAGCAACTGAGTCTGTGAGTAGCTGCATGTTTTTTCCTCTTTTAATATGTACGTGTTTACTCATCTATAGGAATAAGTATTTTGTTTCTTTAATGAGCAGTCTTCACAGATTTAACTTTAATTTATTCCAATAATTCATCATGTTGTCTGGAGCACAATCATTAATCATTTGAGAAGCCAATGTAAGGGTGGGACTATTCTATATATCATACGAATCATATAAGCACAGTCTTATTTTATTGAAAGT